CTATTAATTAAAGGCTGTCCTTTCCCCACCGTGTGTTCTTGATACATGTGTAAAAAATCAGTTGATCATAAATGTGCAGGGCTATTTCTGGGCTCTCCATCCTAGTCCATTAGTTAGTATGTCTGTTTTTATGCCAGTACCATGCTATTTTGACTACCATAGCTTTGTAATGTATTTTGAAATCTGGTAATGTGGTGCTTCCAGCTTTGTTATTTTGCTTAAAATGGCTTTGGTTATTTGTGGCCTTTTGTGGTTCCATATACATTTTGTAAATGTTTTGATCTATTTTTGTGAATAATGTTATTGAAATTTTGAAGTGATTTCATTGAATTTGTAGCTTGTTTGGGTAGTATGGGCATTTTAGCAATATTAATTCTTCTAATCCATGAACCTGGGATATCTTTCCATTTATTTGTGTCTTCTTCAATTTCTTTTATCAATGTTTTATACTTTTCAGTATACAGATCTTTAACCTCCTTTGTTAAATTTACTTATAAGTATTTAATTTTTTGATACTATTCTAAATGAGATTTTCTTAATTTCTCTTTCAGATAGTTTATTGTTATGTAAAAATGCTACTGATTTTTATAAGTTGATTGTTTATCTTGACACTTTACTGAATTCCTTTATTCAGTAAAGGAATGAAGTACTAAAAATACAATTTGGCTTTGAAACACATTCCTAAATATATTACAAAGCTATGGTAGTTCCAACTTTGTGTGTGTGTGTGTGTGTGTGAAGTCTTTAGAGTTTTCTAAATATAAGAAGAGGCCATCAACAGAGACAATCACTTCTTTCTTTCCTATTTGAATGTCTTTCATTTCTCTTCTTTTGTCTAATTGCTCTGGCTGCTAGAACTTTCAGTACTGTGGTGAATAGAAGAGGTAAAAATAGGCATCTTTGTCTTATCCCTGATCTTAGAGGCAACGCCTTCAACTTTTCACCATTGAGTATGATGTTAGCTGTGGGCTTGTCATGTGTGACCTTTATTGTGTTGAAGAATATTCCTTCTATACATAATTTTTGAGAGTTCTTGATTATGAAAGAATGTTGAATTTTTTGGCATCTATTGAGACAATCATATGGTTTTTGACCTTTATTCTGTTAATATAGTGAATCACATTTATTGATTTGCTTATGTTGGATCATCCTTGAATCCCAGGGGTAAATACCACTTGATCATGGTGAAGGATCATTTTGAATCTTTTTAAATCATTTTGAAGGGCAGTGGAATACAGTTTTATAGTATTCTGTTGAGGATTTTTGCATCTATGTTCATCAGGGATATTGGCTTGTAGTTTTCTTGGAGTATCTTTGTCTGGCTTTGTTATCAAGGTAATACAGGCCTCATAAAATGAGTTTGGAAGTATCCTCTCCTCTTCAATTTTTTGAAAGAATTTGAAAATGGTTGATATTTATTCTTTAAATGATTGGTAGAATTTATCCTTGAAGGCATCTGGTCCTGGGATTTTCTTTGATGGGAGATTTTAATTACTAATTTAATCTCCTTACTTGCTTTGATTTGTTCAGATTTTCTATTTCTTTGTAATTCAGCCTTGGTAGGTTTATGATTCTAGGAATTTATCCATTTCTTCCAGGGTGTCCAATTTGTTGGCATGTAGTTGTTCATAGTAGTCTCTTATGATCCTTTGTATGTCTGTGTTATCAGTTGTAATGTTTCCTCTTTCATTTCTGATTTTATTTGTTTGAGTCTTCTGTCGTTTTTCCTTAGTCTGGCTAAGGATTTGTCAATTTTGTTCAGCTTTTCAAAAAACCAACCCTTAGTTTTATTGATCTTTTCTATTGTTTTTCTAGTCTCTATTTCATTTATTTCTGTGCTGATCTTTGTTTTATCTGTTAATATTGGGCTGTCTATGTTGGACTTAACATGTCCTCCCCACCCCCAGGTTCCTTGAGGTATAAAGTTAGGTTGCTTATTTGGGACTTTTTATCTTTTTTGATATAGGTCTTTATTACTATAAACTTCCCTCTTGAAGCTGCTTTTGCTGCATCCCATAATTTTTCTTAATTCCTCTTGTTATTGATTTCTAGTTTCATACCACTGTGATCAGAAAAAAAATGTTTGATATTGTTTTGATCTTCCTAAATTTGTTTAGACCTGTTTTGTGACCTAACATATGGTCTATTGTGGAGAATGTTCCCAGTGCACTTGAAAAGAATATGCATTCTATTGTTGTTAAGTGGAATGTTCTATATATGTCTGTATATGTATATGTCTGTTAGGTCCATTTGGTCTAAGTTCAAGTCCAGTGTTTCCTTATTGAATTTATTTATTTATTTATTTTGAAACAGAGTCTCGCTCTGTCACCCAGGCTGGAGTGCAGTGCCACGATCTTGGCTCACTGCAACCTCCGCTTCCCAGGTTCAAGTGATTCTCCTGCTTTAGCCTCTCGAGTAACTGGGATTACAGGTGCACCACCATGCCTGGCTAATTTTGTATGTTTAGTAGAAATGGGGTTTTGTCATGTTGGCCAGGCTGGTCTCAAACTCCTGACCTCAAGTGATCCACCTGCTTCAGCCCCACAAAGTGCTGGGATTACAAGCATGAGCCACCATGCCCAGCCTCCTTATTGAATTTTGCCTAGATGATTCGCCTGTTGTTGAAAGTGGGGTATTTAATCCCTTATAATTATTGTGCTGTAGTCTGTGTCTCCCTTCAAATCTCTTCATGTTTGCTTTATATATTTAGATACTCATGCAAATCTCTTCATGTTTGCTTTATATATTTAGATACTCATCCCAATTTCCTTTTTTTTTTTTTTTTTTGGCAGAGAAATAATTTACTATAAGAGAAGTTTGCTGAGTTCAACACTTTCTCAAAGTGTGGTCTAGAATAAAATTGCTAAATGCCTGGAGAAAGGATAACCCTCCTCCCTTCTGCATTTTACAACACACACTGAAAACAGTTCCCCTATTTTCTGCTAAGCTTCACGTGGCTTCACAATCCAAGTCTATATTCTTATTCTGTCAGTCATTACCTATTGATGAGAGATGGCATACATTAGAAATATAGTCACCAATTTGGATGAATTAACCAGGGCTCTTGTCTTATAAAATACTTAACAAATTCTGGCTCCAGAGTGTAAAAGGTTGGGGGAAAGTATCAAAGTCCTGTAGATTACCTTGCTAATCTGTGTTCCATCCGTACAATCATCAATCGATTAATATATATACATATATATATATTAAAAACACACGAATATATATCTTATTTTCTCTCCTTACCCTCCTTTATTATTCTCACTCAGTATGTGCCTAAAATTAAAGTCTATGTTTAGTCACTTGATTCTGTCTTTCTTGTAATAATTAAAACTTTACTGTGCAGAGGTCTGCTTCTGTACTACTCCATCTTTAGCCTTTAGAACTGCAGTTGGCTCATAATATATGCTTATAAATATTTGTGGAATAAATGAATAAGTATATGAATGAGCGTAAATGAGGCTCATTACTTTTTACATTTATTTTTAATGAATCCAGAAAGAAAAAAACCTCGGTTCCACTGAATGCCAATTAGGAAGCCTTCATCCGTGGGCGCTGCATTGGGAAAATCCACTCTGAGAATGGAGGCACCACTGAGAATATGGAAAAAAAATGTAGGGACAAAACAAGCCTCAGTCCTATTGCTTGAGCCCAAGATAGAGAGACTGGTTCAAAACCTGCCCTACATCTGTATTTTCTATTAATTGATCTTTAAAAAACCTCCTGTATTATCTAAGGTGCTTTGAGCTGGAATCTTTGTTAATTGCAACTGAGGTTATTATTTATCTGCAGGGATGTGTCTGTGACAAGAAAGTTTGGATTCGGAGAGGAAAGAAGGGCAAAGCAGGAGCTCAGAGTAGGGCCAGCGAAGTAGAAGCTGTAGGTACTTCAAAATTTTGTCTACAGTAGGCTTGATCTCTCTTGCCTCCTCCCCAATGTTTTCTTGAAGGCAGTAGGAGCTCTGATAGGAGATGATGCTGAGCTCAAATCCCTTATCTAGCACTTTCAGGAGTGTGACCTTATCTCAGACCTAAGCTGCTTTGTATGGAAAAGGAGGATAACACCTGATTACAGGGGTTGGAGGAAATTAATAAAATAAGCACATATCATTCCTAGCACATAGACTGTGCTCAGTGATGTAAATGTTCTCTTGCTTTGGTGATCTGACAAAGGAAAGTTGAACAATTATGTCCCAGATGGATGCTGAAATATTTATTCAAAAGTAGTTAATCCTATGTAAATGGTGTTTCTAAATTACTGCCAGTTTTTGAAGGCCTAGAGTTTCATATAATTAATTAATGACTTTCAAAACAACTTTCTACAGTAATAATCCCAGTGAGAAGAGCAAAAGCTTCTTTTGGAGGAGAAACTGGAAAATTTCCTGCTTTTTATTTGGAACAGCTATGGGGCAATTCCTTTTACATGCTTTTGCTCCCCTAAAACATAGTGGGGCTGATTGAAGGATACATACATTAATTAGGAAAGACTTCCTATTGTTGCCTGGAGCAAATTTATAACTACAGAAGATACTTGAAGTCATGTGTTTTATTCACTATAATGTTCAACAAGTTTATGTGTATGAGCTCAACATGTTTTTTTTTTTTTTCCTGGACCTTTGAGTGAATGGAACCTGGTATACGGCAAGATCTAGGTGCTGTGCTACTTTCCCATGACAAACCGAATGCTTTCCCTAAAAATAGTTGATCTATTGAGCTTAATGCCAATTTCCAACATTTCCTTTTTAACATTATATTCAGGTGATCGTGCATGTTGCAATTCATTTCATTTTTGATCAGTTTTGTGGAACGCCTACTGTGTGCTTGCTAGAAGGAGGTTTTACAGCGGAATGCTCTACTCCAGAGCACTATAGTCTCTGTGGTCTATTTTGGAATTTCTCCTTAAGTTTATTACAGGAGTTTTATTTATGACATTTGTTTTGTATTTTATGTTGTTCCAAGTTGTAAACATGCCACAAGTAATTTCCCTTTCTCTTCTTCTAGGCTTTATTTATGTTCTTTGGAATTCATACAGACACATCTTGAAGTTCTGAGGAGCTGTTACTAATGTGCCCCTCTGGGATCAGACTGATTTTGACTGTGAGAACTGGCATCTTTGAGATCTCATGAAAAAGAACCCCACATCAGAACTCCAGGCCTGGGAAGTACCATCCCATTGTTCCATTGAGCGAATGCAGGCCAGACTGAGACAGAATGATAGATGTACTACAATTCTTTGAGGCTGTGGATGAACTTTTTAAAAAAATACATTTTTATTTTGGAATAGTGCTAGATTCAGAGAAAAGTTTCAAAGAAAATAGAGTGTTCCCAAATATTCCTCACCCAGTTTTTCCCATTGTTAGTATCTTTCCTTACCTTGATATGTTTGTCAAATCTAACAAACCAACATTGTTCTAGTACTATTATTAACTAAACTCAATTTTTTGTTTTTCACAGATTTCCACATTAATATTCCTTTTCTGTGCCGTGATTGAATCCAGGGTACCATGTTGCATTTCGTTCTCATGTCTCCATAATCTGTGGTGTGTGACAGTTTCTCACACAGTTCCTTGACAGTCTTGAAGAGGCCTGGTCAGGTATTTTGTAGATGTTCCTCATTTTGGATTTGTTTTATGTTTTTCTCCTAGTTAGACTGGAGTTACAAGTAAGAGAAGAAGTTCCTAACCAATAATCTGTCAATGTGAAATGTTATCAGGGAACATGTTATTGGCATGATTTATCACTGATAGGTTAACCTTGATCATTGGGTTAAGGTAGTGTTTTCCAGGTTTCTCCACTGTGAAGTTATTATTTTTCCCTTTCATAGTCTATTCTTTGGAGGCAAATCACTGAGTCCAGCTCATGTTCAAGGTGGGAAGGGGTCTAAGCTCCACTTTCTGGAGGGAGGATTATCTACGTATAGTAGGTGGAATTCTTCTGTAAGAAAGAATTGTCCCTTCTCTTCCAATTTTTTTTTTTTTTTTGAGATACTGATGGGATGGATGTCTTCGAAATCAGTAAGAGGCCTAGTACTATTTTTTTGAGAGATGTGTAAACGTTGATTCTCCCACCTGTTTCTTTGAGAGCATCAGGAGACTTGAGAAAATTCCTGGGGCAAATATTTCTGCTTCACACAGACAAAAGCAGGCTTGCCCTGGGCCCACGCTTCAGCTCCCCTTCAGCAATTTTTTTTTTTTTTTTTTAAGACGGAGTCTTGCTCTGTCGCCAGGCTGGAGTGCAGTGGTGGGATATCGGCTCACTGCAACCTCCGTGTCCTGGGTTCAAGCGATTCTCCTGCCTCAGCCTCCTGAGTAGCTGGGGCAACAGGTGTGTGCCACCACACCTGACTGATTTTTGTATTTTGGGTAGAGATGGGGTTTCACTATGTTGGCCAGGATTGTCTCGATCTCTTGATCTCGTGATCCGTCCGCCTCAGCCTCCCAAAGTGCTGGGATTATAGGCATGAGCTACTGTGCCCAGCCCCCATCAGCATCTATCTGGGCCTGCTTTTCCCTAAGTGCTCACCAGGAGCCAGCAGCACCCTTTGAAGACCATCCCCCAGGTACCCAGGACCTTGGAATTGTCTTAGCCCGAATGGCTCTGAGCCTACTTCCAGAATCTCCATGGTCTTCTTCTGTGGGCCTTTTCTTCAAAATGAAGACTGGGCCACTGATGTGCATACTCCTTGGCCTGACGGGTAGTCAGATGGCTGCTGTGGATGGAGTCTGGATATGCAGTCTGGGATATGTGGAGGAAGAAAAGTCCCCTCCTCATCAACACGCCACATTATTCAGGAAGATGATATCAACATGATTTATCATGGATGAGGTTAACCTTGATCGTTTGATCAAGGTAGTTTTTCAAATGAAAAGCAAACATCAGAAAATTGACCAGTGCCTCTTTCAAAAGCTTTTTCACTGGGATTCTTACTGCTTAGAAGTTGTTTTGAAAGTGATTAATCAATTACATGAAACTCTAGGCCTTCCAAAATTCTGAAGCAGTTTAGAAACAACATTTATGTAGGATAGAGGTGTAGAATAGAGCCGAGTTTAGTGGGGAGAAAAGGACAGTGGTCAGGTCAGAGACTGGCATTGGTTCTCCTCTAGATGCCATGTTCTGAGGTCACATTCTGGTGCAAATTCTAGTAATTTGGAATGTGGACATCCGGGTTGTTTGAAGGAGCGTATTTGTTAAGGTAGGAGAAAAGATCACATTGTATTTAGCAGTTTGTTTGCTTGATTTATAATTTAGACATATGGTGTATGGGCTTGCCATAGACCCTGACAATTTGAGGCAGGCCTGTTTCTGTGAGCAAAGTTAAATGAAGAAAATGTCAGGGCTATTGACCGTAATCTGTTCCCCAACTCCAGCCCTGTGGAATGTAATGCCCTCAAGACAACAGCTGTCACTGGGTCTCTGTGGACTTCCCTTGTGGCACACAATTTTCTTCAGATTCCTTGAGAGGCCTGAGTGGAGGGCTTTGCCATTGACACAATAGAGGGCTTGTCTTTGTATTTGTCTACTGAGAATTTCCTTTATTCACCTAGAATGCCATGCTCACTCTTCTCTACCTACCCAACCCTCCACTATCTTGAATTCTACTTCTTCCATGAAGTTTTCCTTAATTCCATAAATCCCCTTCATAGAAATGTGATAAGGTCACTTAGTAGCAGTTGTGGGTTTCCACAGATGGCTGCCTCTTTCCTCTAGGCACTTGGAATGCAGTGCTGGTAGGAGGCCATAAGGGGAATAGCAGCTCCAAGATCAGAGGGCTGTGTGGCCCCAACCTCTCCGTCCTCCTCAGGCACACTCAGCGTGGCTTTATACTCAAGGGGCTGAATATAAATGTGCTATTTTAAAATCTATTTAAATAAGATGTATATTAGAGCAAGGCTGAGATAAATGCTTAAGAATAGGTACAAATTGATGATTATTTACTAGTTACTATTGATACACTCATCACGATTTTCTCCTAGGTTTATTAAAATGTTTTTTATAAGTCATCTGCAATTAATTACTTGAGTCAAAATCTCTTTCGGGGGAAGATGTGGAACTCTAGGATTTCAAGTAACTCTAGGAGGTGCCAAAACCCTGTGGTCATATCCTAATCAAAATGACTTATTGGCTCTTGAGGATCATTTTTCTTTCCCAGCCATGCGTGGGACTTCAGCTGTCCTCTTTCTCTTCATCTTTATCTCTCTCTCTCTTTTTTTCAATGGGTATATGGGAACACTTTTTGTTTTTAGGGCTGAACAAAAATACACAGAGAATAACATCCAGGTTGGAAGGAACTCTTCCTTTTCTTGTTCCTCCCAACACTGACTTTCTTCAGTAAAGTACTAAAGGTATGTTGTTTTTACTACTTGTTTTCACAGCTTAGTTTCTCTAAAGATAATATGTTCCTCTTTTTCTTTTTTTTTTAAAAGCTTTATTGAGCTATAATTGATAAATATAGATATTTAATATGTACAATTTAGTGACTCTGAACATGTAAAAACACCCATGATACTATCACCACAATCCAGGGAAGACATATTCAACATCTCCCTTTATTGGGACACCAAAAACAGAGATCCCTCCTTCCCTGTCTCTTCCTCCCTCCCTCCCTCCTTGTGTCTTCCTTCCTTCCTCTCTCTCTCCTTTCTCCCCTTTCTTTTCTTTCTTCCCTCTTTCTTCCTTCCTTCCTTCCTTCCTTCCTTCCTTCCTTCCTTCCTTCCTTCCTTCCTTCCTTCCTTCCTTCCTTCCTTCCTTCCCCTCTTTCTGAAGAAGGACTTAATATGAGACCTACCCTCTTAACAAGTTTTGAAGTGCACAATATTATATGGTTAATTATAGGCAGTATGTTTTACAGCAGATTTCTAGAACTTACCCATCTAGCACAACTGAAACTTTAAACCCATTGAACAATGAGTTTTTCAATATATTCCTCTTCTGTGCTTACTAATCTTTGTTTTTGAAAATAAGGTCACTGTGACTATAAGAGAACATACCTAAAAGGTAGCAAAATGTATCAAGGTTTTAAAATAGAGACATAAAATGTACTCATTGTAAAACTCCCATTACATATGTTTTTGATTTCACATCATTTAATTATATTCTATCTTTCACTGTCCTTCACTTGTTTTAATCATTCATGTATCAAATATATATTAAGCACCTATTATTCTAGGTCCTAAGGATATAGCAGTGAACATACAGACAAAAATTGTCAGTGTTATGAAGAAAAATAGAATAAGAAACAAGGATAAGAAGTGCTGGAGTGAGAGTGGAAAGTTGTAGTTTAAACAAGATGATCATGGAAGGTCTTACATAAAGGGGATACTTAAGCAAAGGTTGATGGAGATGAGGGTTCAAGGCATTTGAATCTGGGAGAAAAAGCATGGGAAATAGCAAGTGCAAAGTCCCTGAGGGAGCAGGCCTGGTGTGTTTGAATAGGGAGGAAGCTAGGGGAGAGCAGGGTGAGTAAAGAGGGTCAGAGAAGAAGAGGCTGGGCGACAAGTGGGACCACCTGCATAAGATCTTGTTGGATATTTAGCACCATCCCTGGCCCTACACACAAGAGACCAGTAGTATTTCCTCACTAGCTGTAGAAACCAGAACCATCCCCCATGTGGCAAAAGCACTGCCATTAGAAAAATGCTGCCTCAAGAGAACATGTGGCAACTATGACTGTGGTCCCTTCCAGGTCTAAAACGCAATCATTTTGAACCTACTGTATATGCGATCCTTCACTCATGTATATACACAATCTTTTAAATTCCATCTAACACCAGACTCACTAAACTTAGGATCACTTACATTTTTCTTCCTCTCTTCTATTTTTTCTCCCCTTCTTTTTTTATCTGTGAGCCATAGAACGATGACACTTGTGGGAAATAAGTGTAAGAATTGAGGCAAAGTTACATCTTTTGTGAGAAAAAGAAAAATCAGAAGTTTTAACTTCAAAACACCATAAAGAATCAATGCTCTCCATTTTAAAGCCCTAACAAATATATAAAAGCCAGGATCTGCAATATCTTCTGTTCCTACCAAATAGTCTTTTGATTCAAACTCTCCCTTAGGCACCAACATTCAACCTTAAGCATCAGGTTGAATAAAAATCCACCTGGATTTAATATTTCGTGGTCATAGTTAATTAGTAACATTATAAGAATATGACTTCCCACTCCGAAGGTCTACCTTGGGAACAGAGCTACCACTGAAGGAATCATATTAGGATAATACACACTTGGAGTTCCAATAAATGGCTTTGAAATGAACTTTTGAAAATGATTTATAAGCATATGACAGCATCTGCTTTTTATGATTGACTTATAGCATAGACTTAGTGCACAGTTCTGTGGAACTTAGTGTGTCCCAGTGTGGCTTTAAAAAAATTTGGTTTCTGGCTCATGAAATAGAGAATTGAGATGAACAGTGCCAAGAATGGTTCCTGACACCACCCAGTGACATCCATCACCTTCTCCAGTAAGTGCTTCTTTGCTAGGTATTGTGAGGAGTTAAACAAGCTGTCATGGTCCCTAAGTATGTTTTGTCTATAGAGCAGGCAAGAAAAATAGAAAAATGTACAGAAAATGCAGATATGCATAATGCCATCTATATTTCCATCATCTTGAGAGTTAAATAACTGTGACTGGTGGGAATAGAATAAATAACAGGGGCCAAGTGGGGTCAGTCAATAACCACCCAGAATAAATTGCTAATCAGAAGCGGAGCTAGCACAGGCTGATAAATAACAAGGTTACTTTATCTGAGGAAAGAACCTGCTTTTCCTCATGTTGGTAATTATATCAATACAGAGAAAGAGACAATTTGGCGTTCACTGGGTTACTGCCAGATGATGTTCTAAATTGATGACATGTTCTCAGGCATCCTCTCCTCCAGTTGCCTGGCTCAAGTATAAGTGGCAGCTAATTCCAGTTTGCATTACCTGAGTAGCTTGATAATCGCCTTTGTGCCTAGTGTGTGTGTGTCCTGAAAACTTGGGCTCAAGTCCATGCAGAGCAGTGCTTTCAGACTTTACCATGTATGCTAATTACATGGGGATCTTGTTAAAATGCAAATTCTAATTCAATAGGTCTGGGTAGAGGCTTGAGATTCTGAGTTTCTAATAAGCTCCCAGGTGAAGCCAATGCTGCTGATTCGTGGAACACAATTTCTCTTTTAAGCA